ATTTAATTTATTGGTCTTTGGGGAGAATTAGGTGCATCACCACTGTATTACACCTGAGCCATTAATCTTGTAGCTTCATCAGCATTAACTGGTTCACTTTCGTGAGGCTGCTGAGGATCAATTCTTTCTGTACAGGTTCAGGGGAAAGGCCTTTGAGAAGTGTACAAGTTCCTTTTGTATATTTACAAAAGCTTTATTCACTCTGTTAACGTTTTCATCATTCATAATACTTATCTTCTTAGGATTAGTGGTAACTGGTTTTGCTTTGTAGCCTTGAAGTTTTTTTTGGCTGGCTATGTGAAATACGTCCCTGGACTCCTGCCTCTTAATTTGTTCTTGGCCATTAGCAGATGTTTGATATCTGCACGCAACTTCCTAGAGTCCTGGTGACACCATCTGCATGTGTCCAGCCTTGTACAATTTCTTGAACTGTTTACCTGGACAATTTTAACATCCATCCCTCAAATTCTTAGGCCAAACCCTTAGAATTGGATTATTGTAAACACAGTAAAATGCACTAAGGAGACCAAGAAAAGCAAGAGAAATAAGAGAAGTCAGTTACCTGGGCAGTTCGTGGGCGTTCCTACACAGGGGGCATGTGAGACAGGACCGGTGTGCCCTGGCACCACCAGTGAAAAGCAAGTGAGGGCCACGTACTGTCCCTCGCCATGCCTAGCTCTCTCCTGTTCTATATTTTCACATTGACAACTCCCAAACAGAGGAGATGTAAGGGAAAATGAGGTTGGTGTTAACTTCCTCAGATGTACGTGTGGCATGTGGTGGAGCTAGGAAGTGTCCATCCCTGAGGACTTCTCATGGCACATGTCTGTGTCACTGAGGGTTACCACTGTGTAAGGCCAAATATCCCAGCGCCTTTAAATTTTACTTCTATAAACCAAAATCCATGGCTATCACTAAAGTCAGAGGCACTAAATATAGATAGCTGATACTTTAACTTCAGGAAGGATCTGGGGGTGTGTTAGGTAAGGGGCCAGGAAATCTCCTTTTTAACAGTGTTCAGTAGCAGGAGACTACTGAGAGTAGATGCCGTAGTTAATACTGAGGTAGTAGTAATATTAAGAAATCTTAGGGAAATGGAAGCTGAATTTTGGCAGCTTTGAAATTGTGGGAGGGCAAAGTAGTTTTTTGCAGATACATTGGGCTAGGAGGGTCTTGTCTGTCCTTAACTTTGTGGCCCTTAATTAAAATCCCTCAGACCATGGAGAATGTCCAAGTTACATTATTCCTGGAGAATGGCTGACTTTACCATGTGGCATCTAGGCTTAAGGAACAGGCAGGATCTTGCAGTCTACTCTGGTGCTTAGTGTAGTAGCAGGTATGCCAAAAACTCAGAGCAGAACTTGCGGATGGGATCCTGGCTCCAGGAACATGGATTTCAGCTGTGTTGGTTGGTGGTCTCTGAGGGCGGCTGTGCTCATTTGGTGCATTTCACCCCTGCAGTGAAGGGAGCAGTCACCTGCATAAGCCCAGGATGGGGGAGAACTGGCTTAACCAAGGGTTTAAAATGAGCGTAAACAACGTGAGTTAGCAGTGTTCCCACCCCAGAAACGTGTGCAGCACTGGGTGGAAGATGGGTTAGCTATACCATTGGTAGCCTCTATTATGTGGATAACTGAAGTTAGTGACCTAATGTTGTATATGAAGCCATATTGTCTGTAACTATTTTGCATTTTAGATGAGATAAAGACTTGGCTTATTCCATTGATCAAGTACTGCTTTATCCTTTAGATACACGGTTGCACTTAGATGATTGGTGGATTTGCCTTTTTCCTCAAAGAGCAGGCTTCTTAAGGCCGGGCCTGGGTCTGACTCACCTTCATGCACACACAGTGTTTCTTACTGTGTCTCACAGGCAGCAGGAGAGGGATGGTGACTTTGTGAGTAACGCTTGTGTGCTGTAACCTCCTCTGACTTTTTCCACCCACAGTTATGCATGTGTGAGAAACTGTGGGAGCAGATAGTCAAGTCGTCCTGCGACACCATCACTCCGGACATGCAGGCCCTGGCAGAGGACATGGGCTGGAGAAAGATGTTCTTCACCAACAAGCTCCAGCTCCAGCAGCAGCTCTGCAAGGGGAAGCAAAACCACGGGAACCACATAGAGAAGGAATTTTAGGGGACATTTTCCTGCTAGCAGGGGACTGAGGCATGGCTGTGTTTCTCCTCCATGTCCAAATCTCTTCTGTCTCCTTGACAACTCAGAAGTTTTGCTGATTCAGGGAGCCATTCGAAAAGCACAGGGTATTTGCACACAAATGCAGCAGAACCTGCCTACCTGGTGCCTTGTTTGAATCACTGTCCCTGTCATTTTCACTGTTCCCCAACCAAGTACAAGGGCTACAAGACAGGAAGCCTGCCCGATCCTGACACCCATGAGAGGCTTCCGCTGTATATGTGCAATAAATGATTATTAACAGGTTCAAAAATAAATCAGTTATCTACTTTTATATGCAATAAGTGATTATTAACAGGTTCAAAAACAAATCAGTTATCTACTTTATCTAAGCCTTCAAAAGCATAACTTGTCTTTTGAATTCTTCCCTGGCGTTGTGTCATCTGAGCCCATCCATACAGTAGGTAGCTGAGTGGCCTCACAAGGAACCGTGAGGGGCAGGTGCCACAGAAAGCACTGGGGTGAGTGTAGCTGCCTTACCCACTTTGTCCCCGTTTTGTTCCATTAAGTCTGTATTTGGGGCCCTGTCCCAGGACTCCAGGCTCTGTCCCCGCCAGTAGACAGACTCTGACCTGGCACTGGGGCTTGGCTGGAGAAGTCCAAGCGTTCTGCTTGCAGACCTTGTTCAAAGTACAACTTCCTAGGATATCACATTGTTAAATAAACCTGTAAACAGTTCTCAGAGGGATGCTATTTCCTGGAGGAATGTGGACAGCTGCACTTTTTGAGAAGATTGTAAAGAAAGTCTGTGGGTAACTAAGTGAAAATAGAAGTAGAGTTTGCATTCTTTTAGCATGTCCAAGGGGTAGAAACAGTGCAGTCTTTGGGGAGAAAGGTCTACCTTACTGAGAAGGGTCATTTAAAAATTCTTTTCTCCCTACTCTTTCACAGTTAATTACCCCTAGATAATTAACTAACTCACAGCAGCAAATAATCTAATAACTCTTTTTAGGTCACAGAGCAAAGTAGCTGTCTTCTTCTACATCATCTTTTTTTTTTTTTTT